CAAAAAAATTTATAATTTTCTGATGTTTAAAATCATTATACAAATGTTGTAGTAATAATAATTTTCGTTACACCAACATAATAATCTGTAATTCAATCTTGTTATATCAATAATGAAACTCTTTTTTTAACTATCAAGCGAAACTCTTATTAAGTAAATAAATTTAAAAATTAATTATCCAATGAAAAAAAAAGTTCCTAATTAGGATAAAAAATTAAAAACTAAGAAAATGGAAACATAATACTGAATAATGTAGATTCAATTAAGACTAAACAAACAATTAAAAAGAACACGTTTGCAGAGAGAGAAAGAGAAGAAGAAAAAAAAAAAAAAAAAAAAGACAGAAAAAAACTAGGAAACCCAATAAGCAGCGATCGAAGCTTTAACTCAGAAGAGCGAAAAGCTCAGACATTCAAATCCGACGGCAATACGAGAAAGCCAAATCCAAGATTTTTGGTTTCTTATAATCGAATACGAACTAAGGAACCGAACAAGAGATTCATCATTTAGGTTGGTCGGAAGTTTTTACTTCTTCTATCTCTCTCCCGTGTTGTTGTCTGAAAAATTCTGGTCAAATCTTTGGTCTCGAATCAATCTTTTAACACTTGTTTTGTCTGCTTATAAGCTTATGTCTGGCTTCTCATTGCCTTATGCTCTGTTTCTCCAATTCGAATTTCATTGTTTTGATACCCAATTCCTTGTTTTTTCTTTGCTCTGTTCCCAAAGCTTGGATCTTTTCAAACTTCACTGATCTCGATTTACTTGTATTAAATTTCGAAAATTTCAAAGCTTTTTGCTTTTGAATTGGGATTGACAATGTTGGGTCTTTCTTTGCTGGTGCAGTTTCGTGAAGTTGGCGAGAGGCTCGTTTCTTCTTTCAGAGGGTATGATTTTGGTGACCTCAAAGTTAGGGTTTTTAATACTGAATCAGAAGGTTTGAAATTTGAGGGCTTTGGTTTGAGTTGGTCTGTGGATTATGATCTTTTAGGGTTTTGGTTCTGAGGAAGATGAGATTTGGCTTTGCATTGTATGTGATTTGGGAATTGCTAAAGAGGGGAAGTTCTTCAGATACATAAATCAATTTGCATTTGAAGGAGTTTAGATTTGTTTGTAGTGAAGGAGAATAAACGTTGCGAGAGAGAGAGAGAGTGCGGTCTCTGCACTCTCCCATTGTAGAAGTATTTGAAGTAAGAGTAATCATGCAACGTTCTCAATATCAGAGGATTGATTTGTGTGAATTGAAAGAGCATATTGTGAAGAAGATTGGTGTCGAAAGATCGACAAGGTATTTTTATTACCTAGGCAGGTTTCTGAGTCAGAAGCTTACTAAGAGTGAATTTGATAAGACATGCTTGAGGTTGTTAGGGAGGGAGAATCTCTCTTTACACAACCAGTTGATCCGTTCGATCTTGAGGAATGCAACTGTCGCTAAGTCACCACCACCGGATCATGAAGTTGGTCATTCGACTAAACCTTTGGTGAATGCTTTTCAAAGTAGAGAAGATGGTCTTGAGCAAAGTGGATCTTTAATCCCTAATCATAATCAGCATGAGCCTGTTTGGTCCAACGGGGTTTTGCCCATCTCTCCGCGGAAAGTTAGGTCTGGAATGCGTGACAGGAAGAGCAGAGATAGGCCTAGTCCACTAGGGTCAAACGGGAAGGTTGAACATATGTTGCATCAGCCAGTTTGTAGAGAAGACAATAGAGGTAGTGTTGGTATGGAAAATGGGGATTATCAAAGATCAGGCAGATATGTTGCTGATGAAAGAGATGGTGAATTTCTTCGTCCCGTGGAAAAACCGAGAATACCAAATAAGGAAAAGGTTGCAACTGCGTCGATGAGAGATGATGAGAATCAAGAAGAGCAGGCTAGGCTAAATCTATCAATGAGTCCCCTTATTGCACCTCTAGGGATTCCATTTTGTTCAGCTAGTGTCGGTGGGTCCCGTAGAACGGTTCCTGTTTCAACCAGCGCTGAGCTAATTAGTTGCTATGACAGTGGTGGATTACCCGATATAGAGATGCTAAGGAAAAGGATGGAGAATATTGCAGTAGCACAGGGTCTTGAAGGGGTTTCGGTGGAGTGTGCTAAGACGTTGAATGACATGTTGGATGTTTATCTGAAGAAGCTGATCAAATCGTGCTTTGATTTGGTTGGAGCCCGGTCCACTAATGGAGATCCTGGGAAACAAACTATAGGCAAGCAGCAAAGTCAAAACAAGATTGTAAATGGGGTGTGGCCAAGTAACAGTTTGAAAATACAAACTCCCAATGGGCCTTCTGATATAACACAAGATCATCATTCTGTGTCTCTGCTTGATTTTAGAACAGCCATGGAGTTAAATCCACAGCAGCTTGGCGAAGACTGGCCAACTCTCCGAGAGAGAATTTCCATGCGGTCTTTCGAGGAACAAGACTTCGAGGTGTGAAAGACATCTTCGGCATGCTCTGGTCCAATAGGGGGCAACTAATTTTGAATGCAAAAAGATTTACTGTGTAGTTCCATGATGAACCGGAAAGAGATGAAGTTATGAGTTCTGAGCTGAAAAGCACATTATGACTGCAGCAGCAGACTCAGAGCAGGTTAGTAGATTAAATGGAACTAATCTCAAAGAACCGTATAAAGATATGTGTTGTTGGTTGCCATGTTGTAAGATTAGAAGTAATTGGCAATCTCAAAGAGTTTCGAGCTTTGTGTGTAAACCCGAGGCAAATAAGGGAATTGGGTAGAGAGTTTTGGCAGAGATACTGTGCTTTTAAGTCGGTGCAAGGTACAATGTCAATCATGTAATAGCTGCAGTTTGCTCTGTATGTAACCTAGTCTTTAGCATTGTTTAGAATTCATATCTTAATAACAAATTTGACATCCGTTTTTGTTTTCTCATTTTAATGGAAATTTTCTTTTTCTCAAAGTCCACAATACATTGCCTTGTTCCTTACTTTCGACTGGTGGCTGTGTCCTATCTATTACTTGTGCCTTGGAAGTAGACTCTTTGCAAGTTTTATTTATATTAATATACTTTACCTGGAGATTTGATCCTTCGTATATGGAAAGTATTGGCGAAATGATTAAACTCTATTTGTGGCTATAAAGGGAAAATCTATGATGTTGTAAGCTGTAGCGCCCTTACTGAGTCTGCTTTCAGCCTCTAGTCCGATCCAAGCATGAAATGCTGTAATCTCTTGTCGAGAATCGGTTGAGATCTTTTGCTTTTCCTGTTGGATGGTGCTCACATGCTTGTGTTGTGTTACATATGCCATGATGAGCTTAATGGCTATGATGTTAGTTAGGACATGTTTGTCCTGTAAGTCAACGTTAAAGGATATCAAATCGGAAAAACTTACAGAGAATGAGCTTCACAGGAGTCATCTTTTGGCAAGTCTCACTTGTTGGACGAAAACTTGCTACAATGCATGTTTGACTGATGAAGCAGGCAATTATTCTGGTGAGTTTTCTTGAACATCATTACATCTGTTGTATTTCTGTACTCATGAAACAGCTTCTCGACTTTCTTTAACTATGATTGAGAAAAAAGAATCACATAGATCAAAGCAGGAAAAAATAAATGGATTTAATACTTATTCCTTTTATATCTTTGTGGAACGTTTAATTATAATAAGGTTTAGGTTTCGTTTGCGAGACGTATACAAGCTGGAAAGAACTTTGGAGGTATGGTGGAGTTAGTCTTTTGCAAAATCTGTTTACCATACCTGGTCAAGACCTTCGAAACCTTGGCCCGTCTTCTTTATTGTACCAGCTCTTTGTTCCATTTAGTCTGCTTCATTGATAGACTTGATTTGACTTCTATTGTTGTGGGATATTAGAATGATAGGAGAAAGGGCAGAAAAATGCTGCATTTGGCAACGCAAGGAATTTTGGCGATCAGAGTCGTATCATAACATGAGGGTGTCAAGAAACGAGATATTGATGTGAGCTACATCATGAAACGAGAAGACGAGAAGACGGGCCAAAATGAATGAATGAATCTTCATTTTCAGGTACTTTGATGTGAGCTACATCATGAAACGAGAAGACGTCAGGTAAATTACTGATGATGTTTTTTTCTCAAGACCTGACATATATAGTAGTAAGATGAACCTCATTTGGAGTGTTGTTAATTAGTGTCGTAGAAGCTTAGGCAACCCAGAAGAAGTGGAACTTGTGTGACATATATCCATAATTAGCTGTTTTTGGTAATGGGGAAGAAAATATTGGATTGGTTTAATAAAAATATCAAAGCATTCATAATAATCCTAAACCCATAACATATATCTTACATTTCAGCTCGATATCTTGTTTGATCCTATTGAGAGCTCTGGCAAAACCTGCAGTAGCATTCAAATGATCAAATACGATATCGAGACCCCAAATTGTAACGTCTTAAGGAATCCAAGATCCGAAATTGTGTTGAATCAGGGAACAACTCCAAAGAGAGAAGAATATTGAGAGATTGGTTGATGTTTCAATCTAGTAGCTTGCTTGTCTTTTTAGACTAGTATTAAGTCACAACATCGTAACCACAAACATCTTCAACTACTAATATTAAATTGCATATACAAGCAAACTCCGGTAAGACGAAAAACCCTCCATGACACTCAAATTCCCAACCAAATTGAAAAAAAAAAAAAGAACGAAACCAAAGAGGTTCACAAGGAGGAGACCAGAACATGACATGTTTAAACAATGTCGTGTTCCTAACAAAATTGTCTCTGTAAACAGTAACTGCAATTATTTATAACTATCTTGAAAATTGTCTCTTGCATCCATATAACCACAAACGTGGACTCATGTGTAACCATTAGTTTCTCGAGACTCTCAACCATCCACCGTCCCATGTCGTAATTATGCGAATGTGACCTTTTATCAATCATTCCAACTACATTCATGGATTTACTTTCTTTTTTCCAATTCTTGATATATACTTAAACATTCATACCAAAAGAAAAAAATCTTGATATATGTTTCTTCAACCTATAATTCCGCAATCACCATAATCTAAACCATTTCATCTTTCTTGAATCTGTCTATCAACAACAATGGCAGAACAAGAAGTTGACGAAACAAGAACAAAAACTCAGCCATTGATCCCAGGTTTACCAAATGATATCGCTGAGCTTTGTCTTCTTCGTCTTCCTTACCCTTACCATGCTCTCTTTCGCTCTGTTTCATCTTCATGGAACAAAACCATCACAAACCCTAGATTCCTCTTCTCCAAGCAATCTCTTTCTATCTCTTCTCCTTACCTATTTGTCTTCGCTTTCAACAAATCAACGGCTAAGATGCAATGGCAATCCCTCGACCTCACATCTGGCCGTTGGTTTGTCTTACCTCCCATGCCAAAGTCTTTCAACCAAATCTCGTCTCCTCACGCACTCTCATGCGCGTCGAGTCCACGTCAGGGAAAGCTTTTTGTCCTCGGCGGCGGAGACTTAAACCGCTCCGCCGTTGTTTACACCGCTTTAACGAATCGTTGGTCGTGTATTTCTCCGATGATGAGTCCGAGAACGTACTTCAACGCCGGGAATGTTAACGGCAAAATCATGGCCGTTGGTGGGAGTGTGGGCGGAAACGGAGAAGCGACGACGGAAGTTGAATCGTACGATCCAGATAATGACACGTGGACGGCTGTGAAGAAAGTGCCGATGGTGTTGGCGAAGTATGACTCAGCCGTGATCGGGAAAAAGATGTGTGTAACGGAAGGATGGGCGTGGCCGTTCATGTTTCCACCTATGGGACAAGTGTATGACTCAGATGAAGACACGTGGCGAGAGATGAGCAGTGGGATGAAAGAAGGGTGGACGGGTGTGAGCGTCGTGATCCGCGACAGGTTGTTTGTGATATCGGAGCATGGTGATTTTCCGATGAAGGTGTATTGTTCAGATGATGACACGTGGAGGTATGTGAGTGGTGAGAAGCTTCCTGCGGATAAGATGCGGCGTCCTTTCGCCGTGACCGGGGAGGATGATCGTGTGTTTGTGGTGGCCGGTGGGCTTAATGTAGCGGCAGGGAGAGTGAGTGAGGGACAAAATGGGGAATTTAGTGTTCAGTGGAGGATGGTTTCGTCTCCTAAAAGTTCTACTCAATTTTCACCTGCTAGTTGCCACGTCTTATACGTCTAATATGTATTTTTCTTTCTTTTTTTCCACAAAATAGTGTGTTAATATTTTTTGTTTCAAAAATAGATTGTTGTTAGTTCTTAATCTTATTGTTGAAACCTTTTATTTACAGAACATTAATTTAGTAATACTATATGAAATTTAATCTATTTTATTGGTAACAAAATCATTGGTCGAAAAATTGACCAAAGTTAATAGGGTTTTCTAATATTTGTATATCTGGTAGTACGATTGCGCGAAAACGTATAGAAAAAATTATGCATAAAGTTTTTTTTATCAGATCTACTTTGTGATGGATGATACTAATGAATTTATCAAAAATAATGAAAAAGAGGAAATATTATGCTTGAATTCAGCTTTTACTCTATTTAATTTTATGATCAGTAATTGTGACGCAAAAAAAAAGGAAATTATAAGAAGAAGAAAATCAGTAATTGGGGCATCAAAATCAAGAAATTATTATTGGTAGAACCGGAGATCGACCGAGATTGACGGTCTGAGAAGCTCAAGAATAAGGGAAATCATGAAGAACAAGAAAAATGTAGAAGATTATCGTATCTTAGTTTATGAATATTTACATTTATTTCTAAAATATAATTTACATTTATCTTTATTTTAATTTAGGAAATTAAATTTAATATTGATTTTTGTATATATCGATGTTTTTTAGAACATTAATCTTATGAGAGTCTATTATAATTCTTTCTAAACACTTTTGTGTTCATTAATCTCATCAATTTATTAATTATAAGATGTCTTTATATGGGATTACTTTCAAATGGTGGATTGGATCACAAACTAGCATTATCAACTATGACTTCAAAATTAGTGAAAACATATTAACAAACGTTGGTTGGTAAAAAATGATTACTTAACAGGTGGAAAGAAACAAAAAAAATGGTTTTGATGGAAGTAAAATTATTAGAAATTTAAAACCAATATCGGTGGACGCTTATAATGACAATTGGACTAAAAATGTGATAAATACTTTTTTTTTGGTAGGGAAAATGTGATAAATACTTTATAAAATTGATGGGGAATTTTTTGTACAAGTGTATTTAATGTTTACTTTATTAATTTATCTACTTGGAGTATGATTTTGTGTGGTTAATCGAGCATTCTCTTCGACATTTCTTTTATTTCATCTTTAATGGTTCAGAACATTATTTCTGATCCCTATCAAAAATTGTTGTGTGCAAACAATTTAGCTGACTAACCAATTCTTCAGCTTTACACAATTATTTTTCCAAATCTTATCTTAGAGCCATATAGTGCTTTTAAACAAGTTTTGAAAATACTTGTCAACCAATATCACAACTTCTTTTACTCGCTGCTCTTTGTCCAACAATATCTTAATTTCTCTTACTCACTCTTATTGTTGTTCAACCTTGTTAATAACGTCGTTTTTTGTTGTTGTTATTATTATTTTTATTATATAGTACTCTTTGATCATGGCTATAGAATGTTTTTGACACTCTGTGAATCTGTGGTAAAGAGAGCCAAGCTACAACTGTGATCGACATCAAGATGACAAGAACATAAGGCAATTGAAAACTGCCCCTACATATTAACCTGACTTTGAGGAAAATATATGGGTTTTTACTTTACCTTATGGGTGTTTGCTTTGAAAGTGATACAATAAAAAGGTCAAATAGTGTTTATATAAATAATTACATGATCAACAATTTATTAAAAATTAGTCAATACATGTTAATATAATTGCAACTTTAACATAATCCATTAATTTTATTATATATAATTGAATATTTTTCATTATGAAAAATATTTCTATATTAAATTATTAATATACTTATTTTATATATTAAATTGATTATTAATAGTAATGTTCTCTTCAAAATTCAACAATTAAATATATATATATATATATATATATATATTTTAAAATATATTTTTTTACCAGAATTTAAATACTATAAATATTTCATACATAATTAAAACTAGTAAATGTAATAATATGAGATAATTTTGTAATCTTAAAAGACCAATATAGCATGCATACTATATTTTTTGAAATTCTTTATTTTTATTTTTAACAACATTCGGTTAGCCTAGATTACATCTCATATATCATTTGCGTACTATACACATCTGCATTTGTGTAATAAACCCTCTGAAAGGGTATTTGAAATTGCTATTGGGACTTTTCTAATACGTTTTTCATTTCTACGTTTGTAAAATTAATCTATTAGAGTGATCGTTATTCATGAACCTTATCCTACAAATATATCTTTGGTTTCGCTTTATTTTCTTCCAAAACAGCAATCTTTTTTGTTTTGAATTTGTAAAATCTTTTCACTGGCTAAATGCCTAAATCTAACCAACCAATTACCTTTCCTTTTTGTCGGCAACCAACCAGATGTAATTGGACTGTAGTTTCGATAATAATAATAATAAAAAAGGGTAAAATATAGGTTTAAATAGTTGGCACAACATCACTCCTTGCGTATAACAAAATTTAATTTGAGAGGACCTAATCTTTTTCTTGACAACCTAACATATCCTCTTAGACAGTTCATAATTGTATATTAATATTTAAAAGTTAAGACTAAATATTATCCACACCAAAAAAGAAGAAGAATTGTCTTTTGGGATTAGGAAAAGTCTTAAGACTGCTACTACTAATGAATAGATTAATAATAATTATTCCTAACAAATCAAATCTTCCACCACTTGTTGTTATCACTGAAACTTCCTCTAACTCTCCCTTAAAAAAAACAAATTCACAAGAGAAGAACAAATTTAAAACAAGTATTAAAAGAAACAATGTTACTTGATTGATCATTCATCTTCATCATCACCATCACCATCATCTTCCTCTTGCAAACTACTTAGACAGAAACAGCTTCGAGTCTGAGCCATCAAATCTCTTTTATTCTTCATCATCATCATAATCTTCCTATGGTCATCACCACCATCATCATCCTCATAGTCATCATTATGATGATCCTCTTCATTAGGTTCTTGGAGTGCAAGTAAAGGCATTGAATTAGGGTTTTGCCACGAGTAGAAACTCGAAGCTGACATAGATCTTCCTCTTCTCCTTAGCTTATTAGCAATAACCAATCTCCTTCTCTTGTTAAATGGATTCTCAACTTTCTCCAAATCCTTTGCGGTACTCGCAGCTTCCATTAAATTCCCAAACGATTTCGATTTCCCGACATAATGGTTCGATAATCCTCTCCTGAAAAATAACCAAACAAAACAAACAAACATATCAGCATCATCAGCATTCAGACCAAACATAACCAAGAACTAACTTGAGGGTTTCAAGATTTAACCAAATCACTAAGATTCAAAGTCTTAAATCAACTATAACAACAGATGAATCTTGCCAAGAAAAGATTAAAGATCAATTTCTTCTACAGATGAAGAACATAGTGAAAAGACAATTATAGAAACTTTGGTGAGTCATATGAAACCAAACTTACTTAATCGGGAGAGAGTCTTCAAGAGAAGAACTAAACGAATCAAGTGTTCCTCTTTGGCACGAAACGGCGTCGTCTTCTTCCTCCTCCTCGTTTTCACTGCTCTCTCCGATCGACGACGAACTATCCGACGATTCCTCCGGCGACTTACTATTATTACTCATCCGTAATCCGATCCCGATCTGCGATCCACCGCGTCCCGATTCATCCGCCAAGAACAAAGCCGTTTGAACAGCCTTATCCTGCGCCGAAACGCCGCCGCGATCTCTAACGTACGCCGCCATACCGATTCCATAAGACGATCCAACCATAACCTCCATAAAGTCTTTCCGACTACGATCCCTTCTCAGTCTTTGAATATCACCGACGGACTTAGATAATCATAAATTCGCCGGCGATGTGCGTAGGTTAAGAGCTTTAACCGGCGCACGTTAAGGAGTATACGAAGAGAGAAATAAAGGAAAAATGCAAATCAACACTGAACGAGAAAAATGGAATAAATTCTCATTTATATTTATAACGACAATATCGTATAATTATACGATTACGTATTTAATACGAATATTTATACGTATTTATGAATCGCCAACACACATGTTTCTAAATATAGAATAGTCCTAGGCACGCTAACGGCGACTTTGACGGCATTGACACGGTCTTGCTGACGTGGCGAATTTTAATTGGTTTGATTTTGGACGTTTCGGGTTACTGTCTCCGTTTAATCCGATGCATGTCGTTGTACCGAAAGTTCGGTGGTCACTATCATTCCATATCTCGACCTTATCCATTTATATGTTTCTTTTTTTTTTTTTTGGTAAAACATTTATATGTTTCTTGATTTTGTTTCTTTAAATGTTTTCAGATTTGTGATAAAAGGAAAAAATATCTTGAATAGTTATATCAATGTAATTGGATGGATATTATTCGGTTTGGAAAATTAAGATGCTGATTTTATGTTAATAAGTCAAAAGATATACAAAAATATTCGTGTATTGATTACTTTATGTATTATATGGAAAACTACTATATTTAAAAAGTATATTTAGTACTATCTGAATGATTAGTTTAGTACAAGTGGACAAATTAAACCTTATCTCGTTTACTTTTAGTACAATTAAAACCAATATCGTTAATGATACAAAAATCTATATTATTGAAAATTCGCTAATGCTGGATTAGTGCGGAAGCAAGAACTTTGACTGGTTCAAAATGCGGATATTGGTTTATTTTATATTATTAATTACTCCCTCTGTATTTGAAAAAATGTCGTTTCAACTGTTTTTGGGTGAATTAAGAAAGGGCACAGAATTACAAAACTAACCTTATGAGAAACGATTATTTACAATTATATTTTTGGTATATGTAGTTTTGGTAATTTAGACTGATTAATTATGATCAATTAATTGGGGGTAATTTAGGAAATTTTATGCAAAAGTTGTTAAAATGACAACTAATTAAAAACACAGAAAAAATGCTAGAACGACATTTATTCAAATACGGAGGGAGTAGCATTACTTTGCTGAGTCATAAAAAATTAATTAGCAACCCAAAAAAATCTATTTTTACAACATCTTATGAGCAGATGAGATCAAATTATTGTATGATCCAATCGTAAGATTTTAAATGTTGATTTTTATACAATTCAAAGCAATTAGGTTTTGTTTCATTCATGAGTTAATATAGATCATATGATATATGAAGGATATCATTAGACCAATTAGATAAATCTAACCTTATCTCTTTAAGTGATAATCTTGTTTATGAAATGTGGCTAAGTTTTTTTTTTTTTTTTTTTTTTTTTTTTTTTTTTTTGGGCAAATGAAATGTGGCTAAGTTAAGTCTGTTAATTGTGCCTAAAGGGTATCTTTCTGTCTTGCTTTACCTCTGGCAATTTATTTAAAAAATTCAATGGTGGACTATGAAACATTTTTTAATATATTATTTTTGTCTTCCATTCATTAAATTAATTACCAAAATCTGTTTAGCTCTTAATGTTAATAATGTATTTCCTCTTGTTTATAATTACGTTGTTAGACTTTAGATCTAGACGATATTGAAAAAGAATTGGTAGTTTGACTTGTATATATCGAATATGTGAACTAGCTGTTTTGTTGTTTGCTAGTGACTTGATGAATGATTACCGGACTTTTTTTTAATTGAATATGTTAGTTCTGTATAGGAAAAGTAGGTTAAAATTTTTTACATTTTCTAAAAACATATAAAAAATCTTCAACTTTTTTTTGTGGGTTTTCAAACTTTCAAAATTAAATGTTAGCTTCAAAAGTAAGATTTTATAGTTTATGGGTCTGATTGGTAACCAAAAGCTGTACAAGTTTTTTAGATGTTAGCTGGAGCTGTAAGCTTTACCTGAATAGTGCAAAACTGTAAGAAATAGTTGTACAAAAAAGCTGAGAATAAAACTGTTAGTAACGCTTTTGATGAAGCTTTTGTGATTGGTAACTGTCAAAACTGTAGACCATGTACCGCTTTGATAATGGGTTACCATTCAAAGTCTATATATATGACATAACTTCTAATAGTAACAAAAGGTAATTTGCTTAATCTCAACTAAATGGTGAATAAATTTTTATATTGCAAAAACCGTAATTTTAGAAGAAAAAGAATCGCAAAGTCGAATTTTAAAAAAATAAATCATAAAATAAATAATTTTTGTTTGTTGCCGTTTTAATATAACAATTTGTTTAAATTAAAGCTGAGTTTATTAGTAATATAGTTTATTTTACCATTTATGAAAAGGTAAGAGTTTAAAAACCCACAAAAAAAATTGCGGGTTTTTTATATGTTTAAGAAGAAGCGAAGGTTTTTCTACCCATTTTTCCTTCTGTATATAACCAAAAAAATTCAAAAGTCCTTTAACATTTAAAAAAATCAAAAAAAAAATCAAAAGTTTCGTTCTTAAAACATTGGAATTGCACAAAAATGTAATAATGTGGATTGTGCATAATTGTGTTCTTAACTTCTTCTCTTTTTTAATACTTTTCGAGGAATGTAAATGAAAATTTAGAAGGAAATAGATTGTGTTTGGATTCTTTTTTGTTTTCTTGGTTGAATTAATCCGTCTGAACAATCCGTCTTGAGTCTTCCATCAATGTTATCTCAGGATAAAATGAAACTATTCATTAAGTTTCTGGTCGGTGACAGCGAAGTAAGTAGTGGTGTGCTATCGATTGTATTTTGAGATACCTTTATCTACAAAACAATTGAGTGTTGTGGAGTTTGCTGTTAGGCAGAATAACAAGTTTACAAAGTACGACTAGAGAGTTATTTTCTCAAAAAAAATTGGAGATTCCACCAAAATCGTTTGTCTGCATTTATATAATCAGATTGGTAGACACAAAATTACTTCCAACACTCATATAACCTATTTAGCCAATAAGTTTAAAATTTTTGAGTCTAGGTCTATAAAAGTTTCAACCCATCAAATAAATAGATAGGTTATATTCTCCCATAAGAAATCTCGAACCCAACCCGTTCATTTAACACCCCTAAAAATAGTTAAACCCAACCAATTAATCTAATGGACAACATTTTGCATGTATTTAGAAATACATCTGGAGGCCCAAGCCCAACCTTCTCCCACTTATACTCAGGCCGACATTTGGTGTCGGCAACGATAATTTATTAATGGAGAAGTTGAAGAAGAAGACTCATATGGGGTTCAGAGAGTGATGCCAAAAATACGAGAACTAGACAGACCCGTGAGTGATATCAATTATTTTACTCTCCGACAATCAGACAAAAGGGAAACACGCTTACCATCAAATACCTCTTTACTCAAATCAAATGTGAAACCTGCTCTCCATTTTTCAGCTACTTCTGGAGCCAAGTTTTTGTATCAGACGCATCCCAATATGATAAGTTTCACTTCCCAAGTATTTGGTCTTTTCTAGCATCTATATTGGATTTATCTAAAGAAAACTATACACTAAAAATGGTTAGCAAAAAAATAACACTTTGCTCTAAGTATTAACTTATGTCCTCTTTTAAAACCAGCCTTCACAAATCATAATTAGAGTTTAGAGTCAAGTTAAGTTTGTTTGCTTATGTGATTTTGTTTTTTATCTTATCAATTGTTAAACCGCTAAACATTTTCTTTTGACTATATTGTTTATTCAGTCGATAAATATCTTTATTTAGACTATAAAGTTCATGACTTTTGTAAAAAAAAAAGACAAACTCACACAATTAATCATGGAATCCAGCAAGGTCCAATAAAAGAAAAAGAAAAACACCATCAAATTCCTTATTAACTCATCACCAAACACATTTCAAATTAATCAAAACACTAGACACAATAAATTTCAAAACAATGTCGACTTCTAAGACCATAACCTTCACTCTCTTCATAGCAACACTACTCTCGTCCTGCAACGCAGCCGCAAACGCTACAACGCAACCGCTATTCCCAGCGATTCTAATCTTTGGCGACTCAACAGTCGACACAGGCAACAACAACTACCACTCACAAACAATCTTCAAAGCTAAACATCTTCCTTATGGAATTGATCTCCCAAACCACAAAGCTAGTGGAAGATTTACAAATGGGAAAATCTTCTCCGACATAATCGCAACAAAACTCAACATCAAACAGCTTGTTCCTCCCTTCTTACAACCAAATCTCTCTGACCAAGAAATTGTAACCGGGGTCTGTTTTGCATCAGCCGGTGCGGGTTACGATGACCGTACCAGTCTCTCGACTCAAGCAATCGGTGTCTCGGACCAACCAAAGATGTTCAAGAGTTATATTGCCCGTCTTAAAAGTATCGTAGGAGACAAAAAAGCTATGGAGATCATAAACAATGCTTTGGTGGTTATAAGTGCAGGACCTAACGACTTCATCTTGAATTATTATGATTTTCCTTCAAGGCGTCTTGAGTTTCCTCACATATCTGGTTACCAAGACTTTGTGCTTAAAAGGCTTGACAATCTCGTGCGGGTAATGTCTTTAACATTTGCTCAAATTATACCTCTACAACAAAACCTTTTTTTCTGATGGATTTTATTTAGTGATTTTGAAATTTATTACTAAACTATAGCAGTGTTTTTTGATGGAATAGCAACAAGTTTGCAATGAAAATATGAAAAATTACATGTTAATAACTTAGTTAAAATACTCTATAATGCATTATTCGACACAAATTAGCGATGAAGTTTTTAGGGCTTAGTGTATAGGGTTTAGGGTTCCCACTCGTCTTGCTAATCTTTCTAGTGTGTGTGCAGGAGCTTTACAGTTTAGGTTGCCGGAAAATTATGGTAGGAGGTTTACCGCCAATGGGTTGTTTACCGATTCAAATGACTGCTAAATTCCGCAACGCTCTAAGGTTCTGCTTGGAACAAGAGAACCGAGACTCTGTCTTGTACAATCAGAAACTTCAGAAACTATTACCTCAGATCGAAGCATCTCTTACAGGAAGCAAGATCCTTTACTCCAATGTCTATGACCCGATGATGGACATGATGCAAAACCCAAGCAAATACGGTATAGATACAATATTTTTCTTGTTTTGCAAGTCATCCTATGCGATAAATATTGACCAATGATTATTTATGTTCCTTCAACTAAAACAGGGTTTAAAGAGACGAAGAGAGGATGTTGTGGAACAGGGCATTTGGAGACAAGCTTCATGTGTAATGCTTTTTCTCCAACGTGTAGGAATCACTCCGAGTTTTTGTTCTTTGACTCGATTCATCCATCGGAAGCTACCTATAACTATATGGGCAATTTTCTAGATACTCAGATCCGTTTGTGGCTTGAGGCCTAAGTCATAATTATATTGGCCTAAATCAGTTCACTTTCACTTGTTGACAAAACGAAAGAAAATATCAGTTAATTAAGTTAAAATAAAATAAATATATAAAACCTCTCGCAAAAAAAAAAAAAAAAAGTAATATATTTGTGCTCAGATAATTTATTATGTCGTCAAATTATACACATACTAGATAAGGCTTGCGTAAATACGCGGGTTAGAAAATAAAATAAATATAATTTTTATCGATAATATATGAAATCTAAGTAATAACCTATATAATTTTTTGATCTTATATATGGTAATTTTTTTAAATCGGATTTGAGCCTCACATATTCCATTTTCCAATACAATTTAACTATCTATACCATCATAATAAACCATAATTTAATATTTATGCACTTAATGAATTAGAGCTAAAAAATTATATCAAACACAATTTATACATAATATCAAATTTATATCTTCTTTTTTTTTACATCAAATCTATATCTTAGTTAGAATTAAAAATAATTTAGAAATTAACAAAACAAAATTATTAGAAAATTAAAATATAATTCACAAAGAAAATTGGAAATCCAAAATTTACCTTTTCTTAGTTTTAATTTGATAATTAAAAAAAATTTCTTTACCCTTTTTTAAATCTAAGTATATATTTTACATTTGAAATTTTTAATATTTATGTTAACATAATGTCAAAATCTAATTAGTTGTAATTTTTTACACTTGTCAAAATCTTATTGAAATAATTGTCACATGTCGTGATCCTATGAGTTATTAACTTTGAAAACCATACTTTATATAATAAGATATACACACCGAATCCAATTCCATGTCTAATTGGGTTTTCGAAAATTTGTCTTCTTGTTTTTTTTTTTTGGGTTAAAGGTTTAAATGTTGTCCTCTAGTTCTATAAAACGTGAGAATTTCAGTTTCCTAGTAGAAAGATGTAAATACTAATAGACTTCTCAAATAATCATATGTATCATGAAAATATTTTCTCTAGTTTTAAGGTGTTCACATCATCAAAAAAACAAATTGCATTACACGTTATTTATAAAGAACACATGATATTTCTTAGAAAAATATTCTATTCAGTTTAATATCTCTCTTTATCATGTTATTTTGTAACAATACACGTTTTTTTTAGTAAGATCATATGTGCTTTCTTTTAAAAAAATATGATTTTTTTTAGTAATACACGATTTTTATTAAGATCACGTGATTTCCTTATGAAATTAAAGATTCCATTAACGTTAAATTTTTCTATAACAATGTTTTTTCTTAAAAATCACTACATTTTTTAAAGTATTATATCGTTTAGTTAAATATAACATGTAAAATTTATATGTTACATGCTATTTTGAAAAATCTCACGAAACTGTCTCGCCTATTGTTGATCTCGCAACAAACAAAATATGGTTTTGTTATTTCACTTGTTCTGACAACGTGGGTTCATGGCTATTTTGCAACAAAAATCTTTCTCTCTGCTATTTTCTTAATTTCAGTGTTTTATTTGGCTATTCATTAATATTACCCTGTAATCAATGTGTATACTCATTTAAGTCTTAGGTTCCAACGAATTTCAGCGAAATAATATTAATTTACTGTGAAAAATATTTATTTAGAAGACAATGTAATCATTTTTTTTTTCAATTTGAAAGCTGTATTAAATTAAAGAAATATAATCTTTTCCCAACAACAAAATCATAAAAAGTATTAAAGAAAAATTTTGTCAAAACAAATTTTTAATTGATATTCATTTTATATTTGGTATCAAATGTAAAATACACTATTTGGTTTATTAGAAATAAATACACTAATTTGTTGTGGACAATGTGTAAATTTTTTTTGAAATGTTTATAGTTTACATATAAGGTGCAAAATAACAAAAATAGAAAATCTATATATATAATGGGAGAGTTATCTCTCCATCTAGGGTGTCCACATCATCATCCAAGTCATCCTATCTTGATTTTGTGTGGACTCCACATATTTTATTTATTAAAACAAAAAATATTAAAACTACAATTAATTCACACATTTTGTAATTTATATTATTATATTTCATTAATAAAATTAAAAGAGAAAAAATTAAATATTAGAAAACGAAAAAAATAAATTTATAACACAAAATATAAAAATTTTGAATAGAGATTGAATAAATATAAAATTAGATAATTGTATCTTAACATATAATGAGTAAAGATTCCTAAATGACAAGAGATATGAAAAAAGAACTTATCATATATTTTTTTCTATATTTTAGTGATAAAACAATCATTTATAAGAGTTACAATTACTATATTAAATTTAGAGGTAAAAAGTAATCCATTTCTGAAAAATACACATTTAAAATTAAAAAAATAGTTAAAAATTTTTTAATGTTAAAGTATCAATTCATGATACTGATTAAAAAAAAAGTCGAGTACATATTATTTTTTTTTTTTTTAACATCAAATCATAACTTTATTAATGTGAACCAAAGATTACATTGTTAAAACATAAGGATATAAACACAATCAAATAGATTTGTAACGAAAAAGCAAAAAAGTTCAAGCGCCGCAATCCGAATGATATGCTTAGTTGTTTTCGTCGTATCCGTCAATCTTGTGTGACTCTCTAGTTTGGGAAACATCTTCTTTTTATCGATGCACCATCTTTTACGCTTTCGAAAGTCAAAGTCTGCGATCCATCCGTTACATCGCAAGACCCTAGATTTGGGAACTCTCCTGAAGAAAGAGATATGAAGTTTTGTGATTGTAGCGTAAACCCATACTTGTTGTTGATCTGATCTTCTGATTCGCATCATAATCGCATCTCCATCCTCCGTTGTGGGTTGATTCCATGGCGGTTTTCGTGGTGGTCGTTGACTCATTAACAAATCCAAAGAGATTTGTATCAACCATCGAAAAGCCACGAAACAGTGGTCTTCGGAGACTACCATAAAACTAACAAAATATGTTAGTTTCGATAAAAACTCGGTAATACATACCGGATATGCCTCGGCGACTTCGCCGGAAAAGACCTTCACCACGGAGGACCGGATGAGACATGGTATATAGACTTGAGACTCCCACAAAACGGTTCCTTTTTCATCGACCAGAGGTATTACCGTCCCATGAGACGGGTTCGCTTCTGCCTTCGGATCTGATATCCACTTGACATGAAAGTGGTGAATGTTTGTCGCCGGTGTAAGCACGAACACGGATAAAGTCACCATCCGAAGGAAAACCATAGATCGGAAGAGATACCGGTGGAAGAAAGTGTCGTCCATCCAAAGAAACAGAGACAGAAAGTAGAACAAAATTATATTATTTATAATTATAATATAATTACATTAATAAAACTTTCTATATTATAAGTCTTTTCTAAATTAAAAAAGAGAAATTGTTAAAAATGCTCATTTTTCAATACTTCTTTTCAAAAATGTCCCCTTTGAGAGTCCATTTTTAAGTTTGCCCTCTTTTAATTTTTAATGACCATTTTACCCTTATTTGAAACAAAATTAGGTCCACAAAATATAAAATATTTTTTGGCGGGAAAAGTGATTCCGCAATTTTCCCGCCAAAACACTTGTAAAAACCATTAAAATACCTTGTAAAATTTTCCCGCCAAAAATTTTTTTTTGCAGGAAAAGTGATTCCGCAATTTTTTTGGCTAATTTTTTTTGGCGGGAAAATTTTTGGCGGGAAAAATTTACAAGGTAAAAGTTTTACAAGGTACTTATAAGGTTTATAAGGTATTTATAACTTGTAAAACCTTATAACTTGTAAAAGCTTATAAAATAGCTTGTAAAATCTTATAATACTTATAAATACCTTATAAATACGTTGTAAAACTTTTTAAAATACATTGTAAAACCTTATAAATATCCTGTAAAAAACTTTTAAAATACTTAGTAAATTTTTCCCGCCAAAAAAATTGCGGAATCATTTTTGGCGGGAAAAAATTTTACAAGGTATTTTAAAGGTTTTACAAGTGTTTTGGCGGGAAAAATTGCGGGATCACTTTTCCCGCCAAAAAATATTTTGTATTTTGTGGACCTAATTTTGTTATATTTCCTTATATATTTGTGATATCTTTTATTAAAAGAAGGGTAATTTAGTTATTTTGTACATAAAAATGGGTATTTTTAAAAATGGACAGCCAAAGAGGGCATTTTTGAAAAGGGGTATTAAAAAGGAGGTATTCTTGTGAGTCTCCCATTAAAAAAGTGGTGGGTTTAAAAAAAAAATCAAATGAATACCTAAAAACTAAAAACTAAATATTAATCAGTGTTTATGAAATTTTAACGTAGATCAAAAAGTTTAAGGTGATTTGAAATAAAACAAAAACTATCCTAAACATCACAAATAAAAAAAAAAAAATCCAATCGAATACGAAACTATGTAATAATAATATTTGTGAATGCTATTTGGAAATTAGAATAGTATTTGCCATATTTGCCCTATTTTTTAATCAATCAATTAAACATTCCATCAAAAAAAAAAAAAATAGAATAGTTATGGTATATTGAAGAGTTTTTAATAAGAAGTAAAAATAAAAGATTAAAAATGTATTTTAAAATTTGAATAATTTATATGAATTCGTAAGTTACGTTACGAAAATCAACATTAAGAATACTCTATAAAATCATAATATACGTCAAATTATATATGTGAATTTGTTTTTTGCATTTTTCAAACGGTCAAAATAAAGTGCAAAATTTGATGTTGAAATTTGATGTTTGTGAATATGAATGAGTCCATGTATGAAATTTGTAGTCTTTTTTTTTTCTTTCGTCAAACACCATTTTATTAAGTAATTGGGCGGAGACTTTCTTCTAGAGAGAGCCAATCCAGAGCCGATGTGCTTACATGGGAGAATAGGGAACCTCGTGCTCTTGCTTTTTTGCGAGGCAATCCGCACGGACATTGTTACAACGAGGAAGAAATCTAATAGAGAAAGAGGGGAAAGAAAGCTTCAAAAGCTTAAAATGTTGTAATTCTACTGCTAAAGTAGGCCAATCAGAAGGGTTATTCAAAATGGTAATTAGCTCAGAGCAGTCA